CTACCTTCTTATGATAGAGTCGTGATAATTTGCAAACAGCACTATTTCTTTGGAACGAATGATATTTTTTGGAACCGAAGTTTGATAGAGGAACAATAGGGCATGCAAGAATATATATTCAGTGCCGATGCCTATGCCTTTGATTAGAATCTGTCCGTCTCGCTCTGACGCTGCTGATGTTAAAAATAATGACCCATTGAAGATTTAACTGGTAGGCATCCAAACCATTGAATGGACTCTCAAATGTTGTCGACTCATAATAATACCATTAACAAATGTCTTATGAATGTAGCTCCTTTTACCTTTTGATACATCATTAAGTAGGAATCCAAGATTTTTAGCGGTTGGATAAGTTTTGCCATGAATGATATCAAAGCAGAGAGAAACCGTGATCCTTCATTGAATCGCATACTTCGCTGGGTAGCGGTCGCAAGGAAAAAGTGAACCAAATTTCATACCCCTCTTGTCAACTGGAATCGAGAATCAAAGCTAGATCGTAAATAACAAAGGCGCTAGAATTCAATTGGTGATGGAACTTGTTCTCTAAGGCCTCTTTTATCGTCAATATTCCCGTCCTGCCCCTCTACTGTTGATTTTGCTCTTCAAGTCCACGGTATCAGTAATTGTGGATTTTCTCTCAGACATTTATTTCGCACAAATCCCGCTCCAGTGGACGGAATCCGGTCCTGCTACCCACCATAAGTGTTCGCGTACTGTCGCCTGTCTTCCTACCAAGTTTCAGCCCCTTGGAGCCAATTCGCGCTCACCCTGCTTTCTATGGGCAGGGTCCGGTCCTCCCAAGGAATGAGGAAGCCCCGCCTTCACTGGGCAGAGTCTGCACCTGTCACCTATCATTATTTTTCCCATCTTGCCACATACTTCTCTGCCAAATTTGAATACTCTAGGCACAGGAGCAAAAGAGCTGTGGATTTCGGGTGAGCTACACTATTCGCGCAAGCCCCGCCCCTAATGGGCGGAGCCTAGCTTAAATCACGTGTACCTAAGAAGTTCGGCTCATTCCCCACTTGTCCATCCCCAATCCTAATTTGTTCCAACCTGACTAAGCTGTTCCATTTNATTTCCAAAGACGCCGTATAAGATAGTTACAGTGAAACAGACAAACAAATATACAGACAAACAGATAACCGGACATTTGTGATTTATATATAGTAAGGATCACAGACGAATAATGTTTGTCGATCCCGTGTACCTTTATGAAATGCAGGAAGACTGAGTTCTTTTTTAGTGGTTTGACCAATACAAACCACGTAACATTACAAATTAGTGTATAAATGTGTCGTTACAATAAATAAATGAAAAAGAAGAGTTATCGCATGAAAAAAACGAAACTCACTGCGCCTGTACTTCAGCAAAGTGCGGATTTTCCGTTTAGGAAAACTTATCACACCAGTATTTCATCGGAATACTCGTGCTAAATCAACATGCAAAATGGCGTACTTGCGCAAAACATAAAGAGTATGATACTAACACTAGGCGAACTCATAACTACGAATGTATTGATGAAAAGGCTCTAGAAACAAAAAAAAAGAGTAACATATGAATTTTTATAATTTGAAACCACCATACTGTCATTTCCGAGAGCGTCGGCTAATATCGGGTTATAATTGCACATACGTCTTCAATCGAAGTCAAGACTTTTCTTGATATTGTGCAAGGACACATCAATGACCCAGTATGACGAAAATGTAATACATATAGATAGGGTAATGAAAATGCAATTCCAATTATACCTTAGCATGCCTGGGTATTCTAGAAATAAAAAAGAATTGGATGCAATGCTATCCAAAACATCTCTGCAATCTTTAATAAGCTAGGCGAACGGATTCATTCTATGGGAAAACCATTTTTATGGTGAAATGTACCTTTAATCGTAACGAACGCTACCGAAGTCATGAAATCCGCTGGGGTGCATCCCGAAAACTGGATAGTTTAACGCTGTAGACATTATTATAATAACAAACTTTGTGGGGTAAATTATGGCATCCGAAGATTACGATATTTCGATTGAGATAGTTAGGCCTGGAATCAATAGACTTGACCTAACTTTTCTCGGCAGCACACGTGTGGCAGATACTGCTTGGGATTACGGGAAGCGAAATTTTTCGTTCCTTTCTCTCTCCCTAACTGTCTTCTATCCGTCTGTCTTTCTCTGGCAACTTACAGTGGATAGGTGTATTTATATTTGGTCCCATCGCCTGATGTGCCGGCTACCCATGATTCATTGCTCGTAGTGTACATCCAAAACAGATCCATTCTTGGGTAGTTTTTACGCCTTGGTTTGATTGTGAATTCGAAACTATCATTTGGCTGAAAATAAAATTTCATCTGTGATTTACATATAAAGACCTTACGTATAGATGTAATAAAATAAAATTTTTTGTCCACGACTTGAGCCAGAAATAGTAAGGTTCAAAGCAGCATTGTTTAAGAAATGCTAGCGATAGTTCTTTGTGAGAGCGGCCTGTCTTTTGGTTTTCTTCGTTTTTTGTCCGATTCAATGAAATAACTAATGTTTTTCAAGGCAGGCAGAAGTCATACACGCCACTGCTAAGAATGATGACTTATTCAAACTCGAATTCGTTGTATAACCCAGCTATGGCATTCTATGGAACTAAATGACCACATTTGACTTTTGACCACTGCTTACTACGAGGCTAGTTGTAGGTGAGCGGTGTAGTTGAGCTGCAGAAAGTTCAGGAGGGAGCTCGCTAGGCGAAATTCAGGGTATAAATAACTTTTTCGTGCAGTGTGTGAAGCTGGTTGCGATATCTGTGACGGAACTGTTTGTTAAAGGCACGGATTAAAAAAAAACGAACACGGATTATAAAAACTTTTTCTGAGATATCCTCGCGATGTATCTGTAGTCTACACTTATACCATACTATACGTACGTTGGAAAACGCGGCGTAGATAAGGCGTTTCGAAGGCTCAAAAATTGAATTTACACACTTAAAGGCGAACGAGTCTAATGCTGGTATAAAGGCTGTACTATTCACAAGGGACAACGGTTCCACAAATTCAAGCAATATGCCGTGACCTTTGGCGGCAGTGGAAGGCGATTTTGGACTTATTTTCGACTTAAAGGCACAGTTTGCGATAATTCAATGGGCGGGAACGTCGATGACGTGTCCTCCTCTCATTCGACGCCACGTAAGACTGTCTGACGTGACATCGAATGAGAGGCGGACACGTCATTGACACACCTGCCCATTGAACCATCGCGGACCGTGCCTTTGATGTACTATTCTTCTCTTTACGCAACAACAACACCTGGAATCTCGTACAAATTTTTTACTGTCTCCAGAAAGCCCTGTTCCATGTCAAGTCGGCGAGTTTTCTCTTTTTTGCCTCCAATAACTTCGCTTTTAAACCTAAAGGGAGGCCCTCGAAATTATTGTGAGCTGCGCCTTTGAGCAAACTTCGTTCAGGATAGGAAAAGATTTCCGCGTTTGGTCTTTGGCATGTTATATTACTTTTATTGCTTTTACAAAGGGAATTAAAAAACATTCCATCTCATCACAGTTACCATATCGTCCTCTCATCGAAAGGCTTGCTTAACCGAAAAATTGAAGTCATGCTATCTTTTTTTCTTTTTTTGCTTTCACATATTTATCAAAATAGCTGAGATTCTAAAGATATTCTCAACAAGAACATACAAATTTGCAATTCGTTTCCCTTAAGATACTTTTGAAGTGGAAGTGTTGTAATAACTCACTAGTCCAAGCGTTCTGCTAAGGAAAAATTCGCCTCCATAAAATAGTTCGTTCAGGAGCTTCGGTGTGTATTCTTCGATAGGAGCAGCAAAATCAACATCCGTCGTATGTGGAATGATGTTGCATTCACGATACCATCCTGAATATACTCGTCTCGAAAGATATAAAATGCTATGGTCTGTGAAAAGACAGTTTCCAAGTTGATATCTATGTAATGAAACTTAGCTTTAACTTTATACAGAGCTCGCGGTAAGAACTTAAAACTCCACCTTGGAGTATTGAAAATGCTTCGTTTCAGATTGCGCCACACACTTGAGCTCCTTCCGAAAATTAACTGCATTCACATATGTAGGGTGCACTCTTTAGTGCTTGTAGGAGCTGATTGGTCTGCTGTGAGGTCAAAGTGTTCAGAATTCGCCCTAGGGTGCTAGCGTAATTGACTTCACTCAGTACAATATAAAAATGTTTGATTGAAGTGAAGCTGAAGTGGACACTTTCAAACTTACCTGGTGAAAAAATCTACCTAGTAATACGTGGGTCAACCCGCGATGGAAAACTTGCTTCAAACCATTTTCTGTCGTGTGCCTGTTGCTGGTCGGCTTCCTTCCAGTTGTGTATGGACATACAGGTGGCCGGGTGCTATAGTGACGGAATAGGAGCTTTGGTGGCTCCGACTTCTAGGCAGCAGGATAGTGTAGTGGCGGGATATGATGGGTGGGTGGGGGGTTAATAATGATTATTTGAATGGGGGCCTGGACTCGAAGGTAGGTGCGCACTGTAGTGGTGGAAATTGAGGTCATTCGAATGATAATTGTTTGTGTGGTGGTTAGTTTCGCAGATGTCGGGCGTACTTAAGGGCGGGAAAGTGGCCGAATTCAAGGGGGGGGGGGGGGGGGGGGGG